ATATATATATATATATATATCAGTATTTACTGAGAAAAGCCCTTAAAAAATTATAATTTAAAGATATTACACACAAAGTTCCTATTTGACCTATTAATTTACATGACATTTAACAGTTAATGATTTCTGAAAAGATGCAGATATACATTTTATAGATATTAGCATTATCATCTGTATACAAAATACAAATTTTAATTAAATAAAGATTATTTAATAGAAATTAGCATATTTACATATTAATGAGCATATTTATAAAGCATTATTTCAATTATATTGACTACAGAAATTTCCACAAAATTTTAAAAAATGCATTGGATTTAGGTAAAAATAAAATTTGCTTTAGGGATAGCCACATTTGCCAGTGTTCGCCAAATTTTCGTGGGCAAAATTAATTAATTTCAAGGGGAATCCATGTGTTCAGGAATTTTGTGCAATACACAAATTTCGCAACTGATTCAAGTTGGTCACACAGATTAACCGCGTTGGCCAACAGAAAGTTGCTCGGTTTGGAAGTGACTTCTGTGTGAGCTATACTTTATACTGTGCTACTCTACTGACAATAGGCCTTTTGCTAATGTGAAATTTTGCCAAATGTGACTGCACCTTAATGGGAAAAGGATTTGATCAACTGACCTTAGCACGCTTGATGAACTCCTCTGTGGCGGCCTTCTCATTTTCCTTGACTCCGCGCCAGGCGTTGAGGGCTGAGGCCTGCAGGGCACGTCCATAGGAGAAGGTGAGGGCCCAGGGTTTTGTCAGAGGGCAGTTGTTGATGGCGTTCAAGTTGATAGACGCCTCCTCCTCACTCTGACCTCCAGAGAGGAATGTCACACCTGCCAGAGGAAATTCAAAATACATACAACTCACCACATAGTGTTCACTGCTCACACTTTTTAAAACATGCCATTTCCTTTTGTTATCTACGTCATGGCGCTCTTAAATCATGACGCTCCACATTCTTAAAAGCTTCAAAGCACAGCTGAGGTGTCTCCATTAGACTCGTGACTCACCGGTTACTGCGGGGGGAACGGTACGGCGCAAGGCTGTCACTGTAGCCATGGCAATTTCCTCATTGGAGAATTTGGTGGGGCAGGAGTGTCCAGCTGTCACCATGTTGGGTTTCAGAAGAGTTCCCTCCAGATAGACGTGATGGTCAGACAGGGCCTTGTAGCAGGCAGCAAGGACCTGGAGATACATGGGAAATAAAGAAAAGGTTAGTACATTTAATCATATAGCATGTTTCAACATTAAATCAAGTCTTGTTTGAATGCTATAAATTGATGTCACTTTTTATGTACCTACCTTCTCTGTAACATACTGGCAGCGTTTCAAGTCGTGGTCACCATCAGGTAGAATCTCTGGCTCAACAATGGGCACAATCCCATTCTGAAAATCCAAATGGACAATATTATGTCAAAAAAGTCACACTCCATTAGTTAAATCTTATCTCTGATATCTATGCATTAGTATTATTTATATACTATTATAGTATTTTTTCATATTTTGAATTTAATATTTACATTTTTCAGTTTTTCATTTTAGTTTGAGTCATATTATGTGCTTTTACCACAGTTTTTGAAAAACGTTTCTATTTAGCTTTATTTTTATTTAAAGGGGTCATATGATGCGATTTCAATTTTTCCTTTCTCTTTGGAGTGTTACAAGCTCTTGGTGCATAAAGAAGATCTGTAAAGTTGCAAAGACTAAAGTCTTAAATCCAAAGAGATATACAATTATAATCCATAATTATGTCCCCACTGGATGCAACAAATGCCTCGTTTATAATGGGTTTTCATGTTTTTGAATCATCGCTTTTTTGAATCATCTCGCTTTTTCAGACCGATGATCTTTGTAAAAATCGACGCGTTTCAGAAAGGCGGGGCATAGAGGAGAAACAATAATGTACAGTATGTGGAAAATAATGTGTTTTTTTAACCTTAAACCACATAAACACATTTCATTACACCAAATACACAAAATAATGTTCTTTTTAGCAGCATCATATGACCCCTTTAAGTTTTAGTTTGTCAGTTTATTTCAGCTAGTTTTCACTGCAACATTTCAAAAACATTTTTTTAGTTTTTAATATTTAGATTTAATTTCTGCTTTATTTTTTCAATTAACGATTCAGAAAATAGTTTTAGTTTTAATTAACAATAACAACACCGCTTGCCTTTAAGATGAACGCACAGACAGCCAAGACTTAATGAGCTCACCTGCTGGCAGATGCTGGCGTAGCGAGCCAGGACGTTAGCGTTCTCCATGATGGCTAACTCTGAAGGAGTGGTCTCGCTGATCTTCAGCACAGACCTCCACTTGGCAAAGTCAGCACCGTCTTTCTTATACTGAGCACAGCGTTCTGACAGGCCATCAAGCCCTTAAGAAAAACAGGTATCACTTTAACAAAACATCATTATTGCCATCAATTTTAGCAAATATTATATCAGCAACTGTAAGCTTACCCTGTGTGGTGGTCTCTCCATTTGTTCCTGCCAGAGGGACGACACCTTTGTCAACCTGTAAAAGAGGACAACCTGCTTTAGGATCAAAATGTCATGGCAGCATTGCTAATAGTCCAGGGTCCTCATTTATCAACAGTGCGTACGCACAGATGTGAGTGCATAAAAACAGTTTCACACAAAGTGTGGGATCTACCAACTTGTACTTATTACTTAGGAATGTGTGTAAATATAAGCACATCTCTGAGCATGCTTACGCAGAGAATCTAGTGGTAAAATGGCGATACTACAAAAAGAAAGTGCCGCCGCATGTGTCCTGTGTCTTTTAATTGCAAATGCTCAATTGATAATTTCATATTTCAAGCTAAACATTTGATTACTTACTGGTGTGCATAAGAACCGCGTGCACACGTTTGATAAATAGGGATTATTTTTGTACTTACATTCTAAATTTCATTTGTAGGATAAAATATAGAACCTTTTCTATGCACTCTTGATAAATGAGGGCCCAGGAGTCCTGACTGTATTTTCCAATAACTATCTTAAAAATAAATGTTTAACTATGCCGTATTTACCTATAAACTATAAATACAAAGAAAATGATACAAATATAATATTTCAAATATCTACAAACATCTTCAAGCAGCAAAAAAGGTCTAATTAGAGAACACCTTGTTGTGCCAAACATGAACAACCTGATTTAACCTAATAATCTTATCCTAATCCTTCACCTACATGCCTACTTATTTATAACTCAGCTCTCAGTATTTATGGCAGCACTGCATATTATATATATATATATGTGTGTGTGTGTGTGTATTTATACATATATATATATATATATATATATATATATATATATATATATATATTTATTTATATACACACACTACTAAAAATTTAGGAGTTGGTTGGTTCTGCTCTTGAAAGAAGTCTATTATGCTAAAGGTTGCATTTATTTGATCAAAAATACAATAAAAAATGTGAAAAATTATTACAATTTAAAAAATCTTTTTACCGTTTTATTATATATATTAAAATGTAATTTATTCCTGTGATGCAATACTGAATTTTCAGCATCATTACTCTAGTCTTCTGTGTCACATGACCCTTCAGAAATGATTCTAATATGCTGGTTTACTGCTCAAGAAAATTTTCTTATTATTATCATCAGTGTTAAAACACTTGTGCTGCTTAATATTTTTGTGGAAACCATGGCACATCTCTTCAGCATTTATTTGAAATAGAAATTTTTAAATGGCTTTAATGTCACTTTTGATCAATGTAATGCATCCCAGTTGAATAAAATCATTAATTTAAAATCAAATTTTGTACCTTGATTCCCACAACAATGCCCCTGTCCTTGATCATTTTGGCAAAGGGTGTGCCATCATCAGCTTTCTGGTAAAGGGTCTCGTGGAAGAAGATGACACCACCAATGCACTTGTCTATGCGCTCGTCAGCAGTGAAAAGGATCTGGCGGTACAGACGGCGGTTTTCCTCTCTGTTCTCGACGCCAATGGGGTTCAGGCGCTTTGCCATACTACCTGTATACATGCAGACATACACATCATTGTGTTAGAGGGACTGCCAGAAAGCTGTTTGCTGCATATTTCATGTTTGGAACAACATGAGGGGAATAAATGATCATACTGAAAGTGTTATTTCCATATAAGATGCAACCCTGACTGACCTGTGGACTCATCTGCAGCGAGGATGCCCTTCCCAGGAGCTACGATACGCTGAGCGATGTCCTGGAGCTCCTTCTTCTGCTCAGCTGTGAGTGCGGGGTACTGGTGCGTCATGTCTGCGGTTCAAAGCAACCTGCAACAGAGGAATGGCAGAGACACAACTGTCATTTCATCCATCTTATATATATTTCTATCATGACAACTCTCGGAGGGTGGCATGGTAATGTACATGACACTGTTAATGTGTTTAGTCTTGGTGGAATAGATCTGCTACGCTGCTGCTGCAGCAGAGTAAGTACCAAGACTTGCTACGGCCAATACATCCACATCATGCTGATGCAAGCATGTAAGAAACAGGCCTGTACATGTAACATACATGAAATAACCCCATATACGGCATACATGAATCACCCCATAGCAGACCTATACAGGTGGAGCTGGGGAAGGTGGAGGGTTTACTAAGCGCTACAGCAAGCACTAGCTGCGTATTTGAATGCTGAACAGCAAGGTCACTGGCCGCTGATACAAAAGGAACCAATCAGCTGTTTCATGCCAGAACTTTGGAGAAATACACACGCACACACACTATTGTTCAAATATTTGGGGACATTAAGATTTTTTTAATGATTTTGAAAAACTAAAAATATTAACATTGTGAAATATGCTTAAAATAACTTACAATTAAGCAATAAAATAAGCAATTTAAAATAACCATTTTCTATTTTAATATATTTTTAAAATGTAATTTATTCCTGTGATAGCAAAGCTGAATTTTCAGTATTATTACTCCAGTCTCCAGTGTCAAAAGATCTTTCAGAAATCATTCTAATATCCTGATTTGGTGCTCAAGAAACATTTCTTATTATTAGCAATGTTGAAAACAGTTCCACAATTTTTGTAGAAACCATACTTAAAGAGCTACACTATGGCTCTTGATTTGGGAATCAGATCATGGCTCGAATGGGAAATTGGCAGTGCGTTCTGCTGCTTAGAAACACTACTTCACCCAAAGAAAGTCACAACAGGAACAACAATTTGTCTCCTGGAAACGTCTGATTGCTGGCTATGGATAAACAAAGCTGTGCCTCATTATTCAAGGTATCTAAAAGGGTCTGGTTAATATTCAGTCCCACTCTTCCTCACAAGCTCTTCAGCGAGGCTGAGTTGCATAATAACGTGGACTAAAGCCAGCAGAGCGTCTTCTATCGCTGTTATGCAATCACACTCCTCTAATCTCTGCTGTCAATCCCCATTAGACATGCCCCACTGTCTGTTACTACACGGTATTAGATTGGCACAGCATTTCATTAAAAGGGTTTGGTTACTTGTGTAAAAGAAGTACAATTTAGAATACGTAAAAAAAAAAAAAAAAAGTACTTATTATGGAAATAATATATTTTAAAAGATAAATAATTGTGAACTGAATGTAAATGTTTTACTTAACTGCATGCTAATTGCAATTAAATCAAAATGCATTATAGTTTAATTTTATATTTAATGCAATTAGCTGAACATAAACGTGCTTTAAATGTAATACTGAATAATAACCTACATTTAAAACTATAATCAAGTGCATGTTCTTTAGTGTTTGTCAACTTCTTAAAGCACAAAATGATTCATTATAGATTAAAATAATGATTTAAAATTGATGTTAAATTAAAAGGTTTAATTAGAAATTATTACAAAGTGCTCTTTGTAAAGTCCACCTAAATGCTTTAAGAAAGAGTAATGAAAATTGACATTTATTTCATTGATATTATGTTATACTTAAAAATATACTTCTTACACTTCTTTTACACAAAGGTTATTTTTTTCACCCAATAATCACTCTGTCACATTTCACCATAAATATCGTTCATATTGACACTGGAGTTTCTTGCTTGTCTAAATCCCTTCTATGCCTGTATACTGATTACATTGGCTGAGTGCTCCCCCATCTCTGTGCTGAATGGAACAAGCCAAAACCGGCACAGACTGGCTGGTCTGTGTTGATATAAATCACAGTTAGATGCGTTGTGACCCAAACACACCAGTTCATGCACAGAACTCATGGAATAAAAGAGAAAACCAACCTATCAAGAAGCACAGAATGTTTTAATGTTATATTGTCCTGAACGGCTAGTTAGAAAATCAGAGATACTCCTCTCATTTTAATTAGAGACTAAACAAATCAGTTGATTTGAAGCCAGTTGTTGTTTCTCTAGCATCTTAACTATTGTTTTATTTCTTTGTTGTCATATGGTTTATCACAGTTTTACTGAAGTGACAGGAGAGCTCACTCTGTGAATGAATCCGGCTCATTGTATTTGTTGAACAATGGAAGTTTCCACAGAAAAACACAGCCTATGGCCGCGGCTCACCTCAATCAGAGCACATTTTCAAATATTTTTTTGCAAGGGATGCGTCACGACATGCTCCTACCATTCCACTGAGAAGAAAACAGGCATCTGACATATTGAAGGAGTCTTCATTGACTGGCATTATTTTGAGCAATGTTAAAGGGATAGTTCACCCAAAAATTAAAATTCTGTCATCATTTACTCACTCTCAGTCTCAAGTTGTTCCAAACCTGTACAAGTTTCTTTCTTTTGTTGAGCACAAAAGAAGATATTCTGAAGAATGTTGGTAACCAAACAGCTGATGGTAGCCACTGACTTCCATGCAATGGAAGTCAATGGCTACCGTCAACTGTTTGGTTACCAACATTTTTCAAATCATCTTGTACTCAACAGAAGAAAGAAATATACAGGTTTAAAACAACCGGAGGGAGAGTAAATAATGACAACATTTTTGGGTGAAAAATGGAAATGTTTAATGCTAAAGGCCACAAGCATTAGCTTCATTTATGATGTATTGGCTTCAATAATATCGCAAAGGGCAAACAGAGGTCATTTTGATGTATGACCACAGTCAATGATCCATGTTGAAGAGGTGTCCACTGGTCCTAACTCAAAGTGACCTCCCCTGCCCTTTGCTTGCAATACAAACATATCAGCACATTAACGGGTTACTCCACCCCAAAATGAAAATTCTGTCATTAATTACTCACCCTCATGTCGTTCCAAACCCGTAAGACCTCCGTTCATCTTCGGAACACAAATTAAGATATTTTTGATGCATTCTGGGAGCTCTCTGACCCTCCCATATAAAGTTATTTTTGTTTTCTTTGCGTACAAAAAGTATTCTCATAGCTTCGTAAAATTACGCTTGAACCCCTGATGTCACATGAATTATTGTACCGATCTCCTTGCAATTCTGTCATTAATTACTCACCCTCATGTCGTTCCAAACCCGTAAGACCTCCGTTCATCTTCGGAACACAAATTAAGATATTTTTGATGCATTCTGGGAGCTCTCTGACCCTCCCATATAAAGTTATTTTTGTTTTCTTTGCGTACAAAAAGTATTCTCGTAGCTTTGTAAAATTACGCTTGAACCCCTGATGTCACATGGATTATTGTACCGATCTCCTTGCAACGTTTCTGGACCTTGATAGTGTTACTTACATTGCTGTCTATGGGAGGGTCAGAGAGAATTTTCATTTTGGGGTGGAGTAACAGTTTAAATATGGGTTATCGCTTATAGCCAATGTATTAAACCTCAAAAGTTTCCAAGTCGCAAAATATACTTCTGCTAACCTAGGTCAACGTAATAATTGTTAACAAAAAATTCAAAAGATTAAGTAAATAAATAATAATTTTATCATTAATATTTATTTATATATTTGATAATTTCAATATGTAGTTTTATTCAAATTTATTTTTAGCTATTTTATCAATTTGCTATTTATATTAAATATTATGAGAGTCCTATAAACACTAACGGGAATAGGTTGGAGATACACCTAGATATTATTTAGACTGCTTGCCAATGTTACATAGTTTATTATATAATATATCATAGACAACTGCAAGCTCTGTTTAAATGAGAGAGAACCACCATCAGAACGCCATCAGTGTTTCTAATGCAAGTGAATACATTTTGATGAGTCATGATGACACTGTTTAGACACTGCACTTTTAAGTCATTTAGTTACAGCCTTAATTCTTAACTGGTTTTAAACAAATAACACAGTGGATCAAATCAATGCCTATAAGGCATCAATCTGCTAGATGCTTGGATATACAAGCCCAAAATAGCAGGATAGAGAAGCTAACCAGTCGATTAACAGTTATGGGCATGAGGAACAACCCCTTACGATCATTGCAGACCCCTTTTAACATTGCACATACAAAGCTGAACAGATTTGGTGCTTTACATCTAATTACAAAAGACAAGAAATGCACTGAAAATAATTTCAAATGCTTATCCCTAGGTTGATAATGCCATCCTATTGAAAACCTGTTCTTTTATTCAAACAAATCTTTATAGGGTGTGTCAATAGCCTTGAAAAAGATGTTTCTCAAAGAAAACGTACGAGGCATAAGTGACAGCTGACTGATTCAGTCTGCATCTGTTGCTCTGCACTGCATCATGCGCAACAGTGAGTCAGTGTTTCACCCATTTTTCCAATGGCTTTGATCCCGGAAGTATCTTCCCTATTCATTTTTTCCACAGGGATTTCAATGAAACAAACCAGCCTGCTCCGGAACAAATCACGACATTACAAATTTGAGGGAAAAATGTATATGTATGGTGGAAGACTGTGCACTTAAACTGTGGCATAATCAAATAAAACAACACTACAATATAAAAATGAAGTATGAAAACAATATTTTGAGTTCAGTGCAGAATATTAATACAGTTACAAATAGCAGGATGAGAGCATCTGCTGAGCTTTTCTGATTGGTGGATCTCGCTTCAGGATTATGGGTAGTGTAGTTCTTCACACAGAACTTGCCAATTTCCCTTAAAATTTGAAATTACACTGATTTGTTGGCTATTTCTCTGGAAAATATTAATTACATGTTTCATTTTAAAATGTTTAAAATATTAATTAAATGCTTTTTTTTTTATTTCAACAGGCCTAAAAACTATGGAAGCCCGTTTCCGCCACTGAATAAAAAATAAAAGAGGTAATTGCGACTTTTTAATCTCACAATTCTGACTTTTTTCCTCAGAATTGCGTGATACAAACTCGCAATTCGGACTTTTTTTCTCAGAATTGAGAGATATCAACTCGCAATTGCGAGTTAAAAAGTCATAATTGAGAGATATAAACTCGCAATTCTGAGAAATAAAGTCAGAACTGCGAGATATAAACTCACAATTCTGACTTTTTTTCTCGCAATTGCGATTTTATATCTCGCAATTCTGACTTTTTTTCTCAGAATTGTGAGATATAAACTCGCAATTGCGAGTTATAAAGTCAGAATTGTGAGATATAAACTCGCAATTGCGAGTTATAAAGTCAGAATTGTGAGATATAAACTCACAATTCTGAGAAAAAAAGTCAGAATTGCGAATTTTTATCTCGCAATTGTGACTATATCTCGCAATTCTGACTTTATAGCTCGCAATTGTGAGTTTATATCACGCAATTCTGTGAAAAAAGTACGAATTGCGAGGAAAAAAAAGTCAGAATTGCGAGATATAAACTCGCAATTGTGAGAAAAAAAAAGTAAGAATTGCGAGGGAAAAAAAGTCAGAATTGCGAGATATAAACTCGCAATTTTGAGAAAAAAAGTCAGAATTGTTAGTTTTTATCTCGCAATTGGGACTCTCGCAATTCTGACTTTTTTTTTAGTCAATTGTGACTATATCTCGCAATTCTGACTTTATAGCTCGCAATTGTGACTTTATATCACGCAATTCTGTGAAAAAAAGTCAGAATTGTGAGATAAAAAGTCGCAATTACCTTTTTTTATTTTGTATTCAGTGGTGGAAACGGGCTTCCATAAAAAACCTATCACATGCATTATCTTATCTTCAAACAGATATTATGCATGGAGAAATGCAATGGTTATGTAAAAGATACAAAAATAAAAGAAGTACGTAAAAGAAGAAATAAAAGAGTCAAAGGCCAACGTTTAGAGAACTGTACATCCTGAGCTTATCGTCAGCTTAGTACATTTCACCTGGAGCAGCACTATATGTCCCCGCGGTGTCCTCAGAGAGGAGAGACACCATCCTCAGCACGTACACACGACACGCGAGAGGATGAGAACACGCTCGCGCGATTCATATGCGCCGTGACGCAACGCGATTCTAGTTGCGTCGCTAGCGGTGTAGATGGGATGTTAAAGCGTCCGAGGGCAACATTTAGGGTGAAGGACATCTTTGACTAAACCTAAATTTGATGTACATTATTTAAATATCTCTAAGGATGTGTTTAAAATCTCTACTTCATCACGTTAGCTCATCTCTGCTAGGCTAAGCTACAGTGATGTAGGACATGCCTACGTGCAGATCAGCCACACTCCCTTCTTCCGCAGACAGCAGCAGCATCCATGATGCATTTGATGATGATGACCTACACGTGCGTATGATGCTTTAATTAGCATGTTCTGTGAAATAAACGCTGTTAAAATAGATTCGGTTTGTCGGGTTTCTGTTAGCTCTACTCTACATATGCGGAAGAGAGATGGTGGTGATGATGATGATGATGATGTGTTCACCCATGCTCAGGGTGACATTGAATGTCATGAATGTCGACCCCTTACGATCATTGCAGACCCCTTTTAACATTGCACATACAAAGCTGAACAGATTTGGTGCTTTACATCTAATTACAAAAGAAAAATGATTCTGTTTATCTCTTTATATAGTTGACTTTTGAGTGTTTGAACCCTTAAAAACGAACATTTCACACCGACGTCTTTTATATGTTTGACGTATTTGCTATAAACACTGCTAAAACGTATTTATCATTGTCCCATGATAGAGAAGGCCTTCGATAAGTAAATGAGACGACCACCTGTCGGATCATACATATTTACTTCTGACACTCAATGCAAAGCAAACAACTGACGTTGCACTATTAATATAGCAAATATTTTAGATAAAATTACAACAGAAATGAACAAAACTACATTTAACGACAAAAATGGTCTGTTTACAAAACGAGTAAATGACATGTCATTTAAGAAAGCGGCAGTGTCCCTATAATTAAAAAAAATATATATATATTTTAAATAAACAATTCAATCACTTACCTGTTTAGAAGAGTGATGCAAAAGATGCCCTACTGTCGACAGCCTCCTGTTTCAATGCCGCAACGCAACGTGACCGCTTAGAAAAACCAACCCACCTAGGGGCGTGGCTTTGGTCACGACCTTATTGTAATAATGAATATTCATGAGTCTTTAAAGTGACCTCGCGCGTCACAGTCAGCGCTTTTGTGAAATCAAATTAAAATGTGATAGAAATAATGATACTTTTTATATATTCAATATAAAAACATAAAAGAATAAAAAGAAAGAAAGTGAATATTTGCCTACAACTATTTTTTGTCTATTAATTAAATATGCAATGTTTACTACATATACAAACCAATAAATGATTGGTTCTTTTTAAACACAAAACCCTCTATTTACTTAGTATGGAAAAGTGTTTAAAAATATCTCTTCTTATATTAGAGAGATTTAGAGAGAGATCAATAACTCAATAACTACAAATATATTTTTTTTACTACATTATTTCCTTTATTCTTTGCTTCGTATTTAATAAAGGATCACTGGTGTCAGGCATTCTGGGCATAAAACAAATACTGTCATCTCAGGCAGAAAAGGTTATTCATGCATACATGGGCATCCAACCAGGCCCTCAGCAGTGGTTAAAATAACAGTATGAACAATAAAGCCAATAGGAAAATTAGTATAACACATAACCACAGTCCCTTTCCCACAGTATCAGTCCACAGTGCATTATGGAAAAAATGCACAGTGCTGAGCATATAATGTTATATAAAAGTAAAAATATCCACTTGACAATCTGATCCTTTTAGCATTAAAGTGTATTCCTGAGGGGTTGTGAAGCTTTCAAAACATTATAAACTAGGAAGAACTGAATTTATGGTATGCTTGTTTAATGAAAATGCAGTGATGGCATATTAATGAGGACAAAATAGTCAAATAACGTCAAAGGATATGAGGAACTATGAACCACATTTCACTAAATGTCTCAACAAAAGGTAAGGAATTCAACGCACGGATTAGAGTGTCTCAATAAGAAATACACTTAACAACCAAATTCCTTCACAGAAGAATAACCTGCTATAAAAAGGTCCACCTAAAAAAATGAAAATTCTGTCCTCGTTTACTCACCCTCATGTCATTCCAAGCCTGTATTTGAGTTTTTTTCTACTGCAGAACACTAGAGAAGTTATTTTGAAGAACGCTGGCAACCAAACAGTTTCCGTTTTTACTGACTTCAATTGTATTTTTTTGTACATTCAATGGAAGTCAGCTGTGCAGTAACCAACATTCTTGAAAATATCTTGTTTTGTGTTCCACAGAAGTTAATCATACAGGTTTGGAATGATGACAAAATTGTCATTTTTGGGTGGACCATCCCTTGAAGTATTCCTTCTTGCCCCACGTGCTTCTGAGGTGTCTGATTTTAAAACTCCCGACAAAATTGTCTTAAAAAGTTAAACAAACACTTCTCTTTGGGAAGCATCGTCCTGAGGTACATGGCTTTGCATGAGTGCTTCTACCCGCTCCATGTTGGCCAGAGTCGGGGAAAGGTCTGGAGCGGTGGGTGTGCACGGTGAGGTTAAGAGAAAGTCACAGTCAAAGTTTGGGAAGGGCTCCAGGGTCAGGCCTCGACGGGCTTTGGCAGGGCGGTCAGGCCGGTTCTTCAGCTCCAGGATCAGCTCCATGGGGCTCTTTTGGAGCAGATGGGAATCAAACGGTGTGCCGTGGAAAAAGGTTTGCCGCTTGAAGCGTTCCAGTGTCCGAAGGCGACGTGCTGGAGTCTTACAAAGAAGCTGAGGAGAGGAAAGATTGGTTCAAATGATTAAATAAATGGATCTCAATGTCTCAAACTGTGCTCAGAATCGCCAAGATCCCAGCAATCAAAAATCACAGCTTTTAGTATGAACTCATCAGAAGCTCTACATTTTGAAGGGACAATTCATCCGAAATTGTTACGTGACGAAAAGTCTATCATCATTTACTCACTCTCATGTTGTTCCAAAACTGTATGATCTTCTGTGGAACATAAATGAAGATATTTTCAGACATGTCTTAGAGTTTGTTGTCCATACAATTGAAGTCAATAGGGTTTAGTGTTGTTTGGTTCCCTTCAAACTAATGTTTCACAGAAGAAAGGTTTGAAGGAACAAAAGGGTGAATAAATGACGACAGATTTTTTGGGTGAACTATCCCTGGATATCTTAAGATAATTTGGCTCCTTTTTATTCAGAGAATTTGATGAGACTTAAAACTGAAAGCTGGTTTTTAACTGATGACTTTGGGATCTTAGCAATTCTGAGCACAGTTTGAATAAATGATGACAGAAAAATGTACTATCCCTTTCAGTTTTTTGAACTCTATACTCTTACTAAATGTAAACAATGATCTCATTTAAGTCTTGAACTTTTAGGGTTTGCAGAGAAACAACCGAGACACTTGACTGATACAATTTCAACATTTTGGCAAGTAAACCAGGTCCAGGTCTCACCTCTGTAAGCAAGAGAGCAAAAGGAGGAGAGAAGTTTTTTGGCATCTCATAAAGGAAGCTGCGTACTCGCCTCAGCATGCTACAGTGATCTGTCTCTGGATACACAGGAAACTGAGACAAACATGGAGGGGGAGGGGAGTTCAGAATGACTTGGCAGAAAAGGCACATCTATTCACACAGAAACTCACAAACGTTTCTTTTTTTCCGACAATAGGCCGAAAACACATGTTGGTGCAAATATACATGTATGTGCATTTGTCCTTACCTTTCCAGTGGCCAATGCAAAAAGAAGGATGCCGAGAGACCACCAATCAGCTGCGTGGTTGTAGGGACCACCGCTAAGGACTTCAGGAGCTGAAGAGACAGATTTCTTAAGAATCCTGTTTACATTCCACATATAGCTAGCATATAAACGTCCTTTCATTAGCTCAGCCATAAATATCATTAATGGCTCATTTTGCGTTTCAAGAGACTATTTATGTATATTATTCCATATATTTTTCATATACGTCAAAGTAATCATTTGTTTTAATTTCTTCTTTTATTACAGATTTACCCATGTATTGGATTGTCCCACAAATAGTGAACGCCCTTCCTCCACGCTCCAGACGCCGGGACAAACCGAAGTCAGCCAGTCGTAGATGGCCTTTAATAAAATATCAAAAACCCACATTCACATAGTAACACTAGAAGATTTACATAATAATAATTCATATTTTTCTATTATGAACATATACAATTTATGATTAGATGGTTGTTTGATGTCATTTGAGTTTTATAAGCCATATTTCACTTTGATGTCATATTTTCATTTTCACATCTTAACAAACAAATATTGAAATATCACAATTATGAAATCAGTGGATTGGATTATTTGTTTAATTGCTATTATGATATCCTGTTTGTGTAAATACTCTAGCCGTTTTCTTTGGCCTGGAAGCCTGAAGCTTGGATGTTCTGGAACATTCCATGTTTACAAAAAACAAGCAGAAAGCTACTGCCCTCCACTGGCGGGACTACAGAACACAGACTGCCTTACCCTCATCTGTTAGAAGGACATTCTCCATCTGTTAAAAATACAACAGAGAATGTTTTAAGGCATTTTAGAGTTCATATTCATTACTTAAGGTCATTAAATTAAAACATCATTACATTCAAAACACAGAATACCTTCACATCACGATGGATGATTGCACAATCATGAAGGAACCCTATAAAACATGATATTTAAAGTATTATTTTGATAAGCATTTATAGCTATTGTACTTGAGCAAAAATTGCTTGGCATAAAATGTCCATGGAGGTTTTTGTGTGTGTGTGTGTGTGTGTGTGTGATTTTAGGTTGAAATAATTATATTATATTAAATTTATATAGTATAAACCGCTGTTCAAATGTTTGGGGTCAGTAAGATTTTTTGAAAAGACATTAATACTTTAATTCAGCGAGGACACATTAAATTAATCAAAAGAGTGACAGTAAACACATTTGGAATATTACAAAAGATTTCTTTTGCAAATAATTGCAGTTTAAAAGGATCCAGCGGTTATCGTGGTTTCAACAAAAATATTAAGCAACTGTGATAATAATAATTGTTTCTTGATCACCAAATCAACAAAATAAAGCATATTAAGACTGGCTGCTGAAAATTCAGCTTGGCATCACAGGAATAAATTACATTTTAAAACATTCAAACAGAAAACAATTATTTTAAATTGTAACAATATTTCACAGCATTACAGTTTCCATTGCATTTTTGACCAAATAAGTGAAGCCTAGGTGAACATAAAAGTTTTTTCTTGTCATATAGATTTGCTTACCTAGAGCAGAACCTAATTCAGCAGCAAACACTTTTACCACATCCTCTCCGAACTGACCAATCATCACCCAGTATGTGTACAAGTCCCCTGTGCTGCAGTAATCACACACTAGAGAGGGAATATTCAGAAACGAACCATATAAACAGCGCCTGAATGTGCAAATCCCAAATATAGACAAACACAAAAATCCAACTCAAACAGGCTAAGACCAGAGAAAACATCTGTCACTTGACCAGATTCATAATTCATCAGTCAAGACCATCTGTTTCTAACATTTATGCCCTCATCCAGACCACTGGTAAAACATCATGGTCAGATTAAGTACAGAACACTGTTATGAAATAGGAACTTAAGCTTGATATAAAGAAATCCCAATAGTGATCTAGACTGAATTAAGCGTAAAAATAGGAGTAAAACAGTGCAGGCTGTGAATGAAGGAATCAGGTGGTAATCAAAGGAAGTGACACAATCATCATAACTTTAGTTAGGAGAAAGCATTCAAGGGGTGAACATCATAGTGGAAGAAGTAAACTGACTTTCACAAATGCAGTCAGGATCACTGGGAAATCAAACACTGGGGGGAAAAAGGACTTGAGGTTTAGAGTGTGGAGTGCTAATAAGTGGGCCCAGATTGAATCTGTGGATTTTTTGGCATTGTCTACACTGATTTTCATCTATCTATCTATCTATCTATCTGAGGCTGCATGTCTTTAAACATTCAAGCTTCAAGTATTCAAGCTTTCTGGTCAGGCTTTCTCAAGCCAAAATTATTTAAGTTATTTTTGAACTACACAAGTTTGTCTAGATGAACC